TCAGTTACACTAAGGTCAAATTCAGTTACACTAAAGGTCAAATTCAGTTACACTAAGAGTAAAATTCAGTTACAATAAGGGTCAAATTCAGCTACACTAAGAGTCAAATTCAGTTACACTAAGGTCAAATTCAGTTACACTAAGGGTCAAATTTAGAGACACTAAAGACAAAATTTATGTACAAGTGGGGCCAAATTCAGATACACTAAGAGTCAAAATCAGCTACACTAAGAGTCAAATTCAGTTACACTAAGGTCAAATTCAGTTACACTAGGGATCAGATTTAGAGACACTAAAGACAAAATTTATGCACAAGAGGGGTCAAATTCAGATACACTAAGAGTCAAATTCAGCTACACTAAGAGTCAAAATCAGCTACACTAAGAGTCAAAATCAGTTACACTAAGGATCAGATTTAGAGACACTAAAGACAAAATTTATGCACAAGAGGGGTCAAATTCAGATACACTAAGAGTCAAATTCAGCTACACTAAGAGTCAAAATCAGCTACACTAAGAGTCAAAATCAGTTACACTAAGGATCAGATTTAGAGACACTAAAGACAAAATTTATGTACAAGAGGGGTCAAATTCAGATACACTAAGTGTCAAAATCAGCTACACTAAGAGTCAAATTTAGAACCAACCAACTCTATTTCAAAAACCAATCTGATTTTCAATTTTTTATTTAAAAGGCTTTCCGATTACACTCTGTTCGTATACATTTTATGTTGTACCTTTAACTTTTATTTAATTTAAAAAAAAAAAAACAATAAACTAATTTAATCAAGGTGTCATTTAATTCATTATATACCTTTACGTATATTTCCGTTTCAATTTCATTTCAGAGGGTCATATTCTAAACTATGGAAGTATCCTGAGGTGCAATTTTTCATTGAAAAAAAAACATTCACCTTCCCCACAATCCAAAGTGAATAGGCGATTGAATAAGAACCACACAAACTTAATTTTTGTCTTAGATTGTTATACATTGCAATAGGACCTCCGAAATAAAAACTGCCTGTAATATCCGTTGTGTTTATTATTATTTTTAGACCAGACATAACTGTTTTTTCTTCGTAAGGACCAGAGTATACTTTTGACACTCTTTCCTTTCCATCTCCTGATAAATTTTATATAAACTTTAAATAGTGGTAGTGTAAGATGGTCATAAAAGCATAAAAGCTTCACCAAGTAAAGATTTAAGATATACTTGTACAAAGTGTTAGCGTGTGCGTGTTGGGGTAGGGACTGTAGTGTTCATGGGATAATGTATAATTTTGAATGTGTTAACCTCGCAACGCCCCGCGTTTTAAATTATGATTATAGATCTAAACGACAAACATGTCATTCTTTAGAAACTAAAGGAAGTATTCTTAACCTATGATATTGTTACCAATGACTTGAAAGGTTTGCATAATTTACAAAGTCAGCCACTCTGTGGTTCGTGGTTTTGACCAAACGCATGTGTAACGGACCACAGTTGACTTGAGCATGGCGAATAGCCTAATCCTGTTCCCTATTTGCAGATTCAATAGTATTGTCTAATTGATCGCTATTAAAAATGGTATAAATTCTGACAAATGAAATAAATAATAAACCTACCTCTCCTGTCCTCATATTGTACTGTTTCAATTCTTACACATTCCCAATAATAATTATTGATTTGAGTCTGTATGTAATGTGATGTCTTTCTTTTCCTCGGCTGTAAACCTTTCAACTGTTCTCTTTCACGATTAAGGTAAGCGTTGAATTGATTTAAGAGGTACTCTTTTTCCAAGAGTAGTCAATAACGGTGCTTATATCAGAATCTGTATGTCAGAAAAGAATGTTTAAAATTGTTCACTTTCAGATAGTCCAAGCATCTGTCTGGATTTATTAAGTTCTTATTCTAAAAGTGCTGTCTTCTAACACTAATTGCTACAATCTCAGTGAAGTTTTGTTAAAATCTAAACTCATCAAAGGAAGGTTCCCGCCGTGTCACAGAGTAAAAGGTTTCTGACTTGCCAATTTACTCAATGTCTTGTTTACATGATTTTATTACGGAGGTTGTTATCTCTGCCAATGAAAGTCGAAGTCGAAAAACAAATAAACAGTTTCTTCCAAAAAACGTTGTTTACAAGTTGAAAGAAGGATTACTAATCGTTTGAATTTACAGGTGTAGTCCACAATGCACCGGACACGACAACGTTCAATAGTGTAATGACAAGGTTAAATTCAAAATTCAAAAATTGTCTTGTGAACTCAAACGATAACGATAGTTACGTGTTAAAAATCAACAGTTTTAACATCGTGTTCACATCCGATGAGCGTTTGTCAATTGGAAATCAAATTTTGATCTGTCAATAGTCACCAAAAAACTGACAATAATTCCCTTTATAACGAAATGGTGGCAGCGATTTGTAGAATAAAATTGATAATATTCAATCAGTCTGCCATTACCACGTTGCCAATCAGCAGTACTGTTGTTTAACTTTATAATGTTTTATTGAAAGATGTATATAGACAAGGCCTCCCCCAATTATATCACTATTTACTTTCTCACTTTCTTTATAGCCAGGAAACATTACATTAGAATGATGGGACATCACCTTTCATTAAATTACCACGGTTATTAAAGGTTAAGATACTGCTAAGTAGTTTGGAGTCAAAAACTTTAATATTAACCGTAAAAGTTTCCGTATTAGTTTTTGTTCTAGCTAGCCATGGCTTGGTGCTTGGGCAAGGTGTTTCAAGCGTCATCATAATTACAATCTATGGGTGAAATATTGGGTGAGGTTTTAATACGTCCAGGGGCTACTCTGTTTTACAATAGACATCCTGGGTCTGAGGCCACCCTGTTGTACAATAGAGATTCTGGGTCTGAGGCTACTCTGTTTTACAATAGAGATCCAAGGTCTGGGGCTACTGTGTTTTACAATAGAGATCCTAGATCTGAGGCTACTCTGTTCGATATAGAGATCTTAGGTATGTGGCTACTATTTTTTACAAGGGAGATTCTGGGTCTGAGGCAACTTTGTTTTACAATAGAGATCCTAGGTCTACGGCTACTCTGTTTTAAAATAGAGATCCTAGGTCTGAGGGTACTCTGTTTTACAATAGAGATCCTAGGTCTGAGGGTACTCTGTTTTACAATAGAGATCTTGGGTCTGAGGCCACTTTGTTTTACAATAGAGATCCCAGGTCTGAGGCTACTCTGTTTTACAATAGAGATCCTAGGTCTACGGCTACTCTGTTTTAAAATAGAGATCCTAGGTCTGAGGCTACTCTATTTTACAATAGAGATCCTAGGTCTGAGGCTACTCTGTTTTACAATAGAGATCCTAGGTCTGAGGCCACTTTGATTTACAATAGAGATCCTAGGTCTGAGGGTAATCTGTTTAAGAATAGAGATCTTGGGTCTGAGGTCACTTTGATTAAGAATAGAGATCTTGGGTCTGAGGCTACTCTGTTTTACAATAGAGATCCTAGGTCTGAGGGTACTCTGTTTTAGAATAGAGATCTTGGGTCTGAGGCCACTTTGATTTACAATAGAGATCCTAGGTCTGAGGCTACTCTGTTTTACAATAGAGACTTCTAGGTCTGTGACTAATCTGTTTTACAATAGAGATTCTAGGTCTGGGGATACTCTGTTTTACAATAGAGATCTCAGATCTGGGGCCACTTTGATTTACGAAAGAGATCCTAGGTCTGGGGCCACCCTGTTTTACAATAAAACTTCAAGGTCTGTGACTAATCTGTTTTACAATAGAGATCCCGGATCTGAGGCCACTTTGATTTACAATAGAGATCCTAGGTCTGGGACCACCTTGTTTTACAATGGAGATCCTAGGTCTGAGGCCACCTTGTTTTACAATAGAGATCCTGGTCTTGGGTCACCCTGTTTTACAATAGAACTTCTGGGTCTGTGACTAATCTATTTTACAACGGAAATCCTGGGTCTGAGGCCACTTTGATTTACAATTGAGGTCCTAGCTCAGGGGGGTCACCCTGTTTTACAATAGAGATCCTAGGTGGGAGGCCACTTTGATTTACACTAGAGATCCTAGGTCTGAGGCCACTTTGATTTACAATAGAGATCCTAGGTCTGGGGCCACCTTGTTTTACAATAGAGATCCCAGGTCTGAGGCAACTTTGATTTACAATAGAGATCCTAGGTCTGAGGTTACTCTGTTTTACAGTAGAGATCCTAGGTCTGTGACTAATCTGTTTTACAATAGAGATCCCAGATCTGAGGCCACTTTGATTTACAATAGAGATCCTAGGTCTGAGGCTACTCTGTTTTACAATATAGATCCTAGGTCTGTGACTAATCTGCTTTACAATAGAGATCGTAGGTCTGAGCCTACTTTGTTTTACAATAAAGATCCTAGGTTTGGGGTCACTCTTGTTTTACAAAGGAGATCCTAGGTCTGGGGACACTCTGTTTTACAAAGGAGATCCTAGGTCTGGGGACACTTTGTTTTACAATAGAAATCCTAGGTTTGGGGCCACTCTTGTTTTACAAAGGAGATCCTAGGTTTGGGGCCACTCTTGTTTTACAAAGGAGATCCTTGGTCTGAGGACACTCTGTTTTACAATAGAGATCCTAGGTCTGAGGCTACTCTGTTTTACAATAAAGATCCTAGGTTTGGGGCCGCTCTTGTTTTACAAAGGAGATCCTAAGTCTGGGGCCACTCTTCTTTTACAAAGGAGATCCTTGGTCTGAGGAAACTCTGTTTTACAATAGAGATCCTAGGTCTGAGGCTACTCTGTTTTACAATAAAGATCCTAGGTTTGGGGCCGCTCTTGTTTTACAAAGGAGATCCTAGGTCTGGGGACACTCTGTTTTACAATAGAAATCCTAGGCCCAGCTTCATCAAATGTTACTTTAAAGTAGTTTGATAATGTATTTTGTAAACATATTCAGCGTGATCTGACTATTAGATATTATTATTTGAAACAACTTGAAATCTTTATAAATATACACAGAAAAAAAGGGGTCAACCATAAGATTGTATCCTACTGGTCTGTTACACACCTTTTTACTGAACATAAATAATAAACAATACAAAGGCGCGCTTGTCTACAAAGGTACATGAGTCTACAAAGGTACATGAGTCTACAAAGGTACACTGCTCTATAAAGGTACATTAGTCTACAAAGGTACTTGGGTCTACAAAGGCACTCTAGACTATAAAGGCACGATGGTCTACAAATGTAAATGGGTCTACAATGGTATACTGGTCTACAAAGGTACATGGATCCATAAAGGTACATGAGTCTACAAAGGTACACAGGTCTACAAATGTACATTGATCTACAAAGGTACATGGGCTTCAGGTACAGGTACACTGGTATACAAAAAGGTATGTAGGCCAACAAGGGTAGATAGCCCTCAAAGATATATTATAGACTCCCAAAGGTATATAGATCTACGAAGGGTTCTTATACCTAAGAAGAGTCTTTTTCAAATCAGATCAAAATGGATGGCTTAAACGTACAAAACGATCTAAACCATATCCCATGTTATACCTTTTTCAATCATGCGACAAACTTTGTGAATTTACTCCAAAATGTTAATTTTATTTGAAAGAGATTACAGGTTATTGGTGTACGGTGTAGATAAATTGATGTACGAGTTTTATCAACTAGTGACCATGTGTTATAAAAACACATTGCTCTATCTATCCCACATTTGTTTTTTATTGGTGATTATCATGTCATCATTATTAACCTGTAATATTTATCATTACTTATCTAATCGACCTTTTTTTTGCTTCCTTTTGACAATAATTGAAAGAACATCGCCAGAATGAAATATTTAAATCATCATTTTAAAAAAATATCGATTTATGGCTTCTGGACCGGACTATTAATAGATCACTTAGGAATATAAAGGAATATCGGATCATTAAGTCCAGTCTGCATTACCTTAATAATACTAGATTACACGAGTAGCTGTGACATATAATTAAGCGTTTTAACCAATCATCCTTTTGTTTGAAACGATGTTTAATTCAATCATAGATGCCTTTGCAGGTACACTAGCTGGATAATCGAAAAAAGTCCCAAGTATCTTTCTATCGCGGTCCAAATATCAAAATACACTTTGTAATTAGCTAATTATGGACTGGTATATTCTGATATTTGAATGTGGTTATCTTTGATTGGTTAGATATTATATGAAAATGTGTTCTTTAATAAATTATTTACCAATTTATATAATGTAATGTAATAATGTATTTATTTTTGTAATATGTATTATATTTTTCATATTATTTTCTGAGTTATTCGCCTATTTACTCTTTTATTTTTTACTCGATTTTCTGGTGTTTTTTTTTTTACTTTAACGAACACACCTCATTTCAGGTGATTGTGAGACGTCTCGAAGGTCGATATCTGAATTATTACTTATTATTTGTTAAAGTACTCATTGTATGAGGTCACTGTATCCCTTGTAAAACACAAAAAAAAACATTTCGAAACTACGTCTTCGATAAAGTAATTAACGCCTTCGGGCAAAGGCTTGGTCGCCGGTAAACGTGAAGAAAACGCTCGATAAAGTTCCGTAAAATTAAAAGCTTTACAGCAATCTAATACAATCTATTGGCTCAATGTACTTCATTTTCATTATTTTATGGAGATGTTTTGACGCTTGTCTTAAGACATCCTCGATTCCGTGGTGATCTACACGGCGAATATTTGCGACAATGACGCCAACCGTACGGTATCACAAGCTCATTTCACGCTTATATACAACGTGGCGACCTTAACATACTCTAAGTTAATTTTTCGTCGCCAAAGCAGCTCAGTAAAGACGCCTTTCCAACGGAGCTAGAACTGTCAAAAACGCTTTATCAAACGCTGAGCTGAGCGATATTCTGATTCTATGCTCTTATTATGAATTAATTTATCTTAGCTTCTATAAGTAGTAGAAGTTAGAAGATCTTTTTTGCAAAATTAACTAACATGTTAATTACAAAAGATGAAATGACGTCGTAAATGAACTTTTTGACGTGACAACCATCAAACAGTTTGAGTATTCTAAACTTTAAATAGTTAGTAAAATAACAGAATAAGATGTGATCGAGATCTATTTTGGGTGTTTCTGAAGAAGGCAGTAAGCCGAAACGTCAAATTACAGGACAATAACATAATTTTAACTAACATGTGTTTAAATGTTTTAATTATATCGGATTGTACAAAAGGCGCAGTTGTAAAGGCGGGCGCGAAAGCAATTTCTGTACCTCCAGTTAATTTAGAGTCACTACGCCACTGGTTCGTTTGGTTAAACGGATGACGATCATGTCCCTTTAAGTTAACTGAAACTATCTGTTTCTAAAACACGTTTAATATTTTTAAATGGGCAAGCTAAAATGAAATTTCTTGATATAAATGTTTGTGTAGGTTGGTATGCTAGTGGGTATTAAGGATCGTAATAAAAAATAAGTCTTTGTTGATCTCTTTAACAAAAGCTACATTAAAGGGACATTCATCTTGTTTTGAAGGTCCAGAAAAAAATTTTGCTCAAAGTTTGGAAAACTATACCAAAATCAGGATAAATGTGTCCTTTGACGTATCTATAAGTTTTAATCAAAAGAAATCCAGCCGTTAATTTTTAAACGCCAGCAAAATTTTAAAAGTTTACGTAAGGTTACGTAACCTGTTGAAGTTTATTTGTATAGAAATATGTCTTCTACGTATTCTGATTGTTTCAACAAATAATATCGAGTCAATATAAAGCCAAACCAACACTAGGTCAAACTGCCTAATTAACAATTTGTACTTTGTACCGTTTTTAATTAACCCTTTTTGTGCTGGAACATAATTCTTTATTTTATTGTTATTCAGTCAAAGATTCTTGTTTCTTTATTATTATGTTACGTACATGTAGTTTATTGAGTACGTTGTGTGAACCGTTTACGTAATGGCCCGTTTTCCTTTGTTTCCGCTTTCTTATGAAAATTCAATCAATGTAGCTCAACGTTTTGAACTCGGGATTTCCCGTGGCAAATCACGATGTACGTATATGCATGCACTTTAATATTAAGCTAAAATACCGATAACCTTTTAAACCCTTGTTAACGTTTTGCACTCCACATACTTATTAGTTTATTAATCAAGCATTTGTTTATATCATGCGTGCAAACTGTTGTGGACAATCCGTCTTTATGTCACTTCGCCCCTAAGGCCTAAGTCATGTCATAGCCTGTGTTTCATATTTCACAGTAAATTCGTACTTAAGATTGTATCTTATTATTGATAATGTTTTTCTTTTGTAGCTTTTTACCACCTACACTTAAACATACATATGTGCCACTGTACAACGCCATTAACGTCTGAAACTCAACATCTTGGATTTCTCATTTTTACCTTGGACCGTTGTACCTGTTGGTTATACTTACTGCCGCTAGGGGCAGAATACTTTTAAAACAAATTCAATTTGATCAAGTAGATAAATAGATATAAATAGCATACTTAAGAAATATTTTCAGGTATAATTTACGGCGTTTTTGATAATGAAATTTTTTACAAAAAAGCGGAATGTCCCTTTAAATGCTTGGATAAAATTAATGAAATATCATGTTTCTATTTTCAATATAGCCTATATAATTCACATTTCAGAACAGAGATTACAAGTAGGCCTAAGTGCGAGATACTTTTGACACAAGTACAAGATGAAAATTATGTAGGAGATTACGCTATGACACAATAACAGTTTTTTGTTAAAAATAAAAAAAGACATCTTCATTGAGTCATTTGATATTAAAATTTGTATTTGTATAAAAATCATCAAAATATAAATTGTATCCTGGTTCTGCCCAAAATGACAACAATAACAAAATTCAATTGATAGCAATAACTATTTAAAAACTGATCTATTTGTAGTCAAAGGTCTAATTAATTCTATTTTTACGCCAGGATTAATCAAAATCAATTGAAAAGTGTCCTTTTATTGAGTTCACAAATAGATTTTGATGCGTTTGAACTCAAGAGATTATCTATCCTATACATGCTTTTAGGAACATATGTTTTCTCTTTATTGAAAATGAAATAAATCGAAATTTTAATAAACCAATATAAGCTGTCTTAAAAAAATGAAGCTGATAGGCTTTGTAAAATAGTTGCCTGGAAGGTAACGCCCATGGCAGCAATTAGGAAATAATAATATTTTGAGTGATCAGAAAAGCGCAGCGTTGAACGTTGAACTCCTTTTATGTATTTTAATTTAAACCGAGATGATTCTAAAACTTGTCCGGAGATCTCATTAATATAAATATACATAGTAAGAATACAATCAAATAGGATAAAAACTCTAGCTTCAAATGTGCTTACAAGAAAAGGTGACGGATGGACAAACAGGAGCAGTATATCCACATTTTTTATTTATTTATTACATTATATACGGTTTTTATGTTATACTCCGCCCTTTAGCAGATTTCTATGTTTGCGACCTTTACCAGTGCTCAATATAATTGAACTTTTATGAACATATAATGTAATGTATTTTGTATAAAATATAGACATAATGAAATTAATCATAATGAAAATCAATACCATTATACCCCTTTCGCACTGCAAAAGTAATTCCGTTCTATCAAGTTCTATCCGAATAACTTGCTTTCGCACTGGCAAAGAAACTTATTCGGTTATAACCAGAAGTTATCCAGATAGAAAAATCTACCTCAAGAGGTGGATTTCGTCTGGATACGATTCAGATAAGTGGCAGTGCGAAACCAAACAAGAAGTTATCCGGATAAGTTTATCACGTGGGGTGTCACGTGTATAAGCACTTCAAAATGGCTCCTGTTGGCGGGGACGTTATAATTATATTTGACGGGATTAATAAAGTACACGAATTGTCTAGGATAAGAATGAATATATATCGGAAGAGGAAACAGAAAATGCTTTTGTTTTTATTTTCATATTTTTTATTTATAAACAAGGAATTTCAGTCCCGTCAACTGCGGGTGCAACCTAGATCGGAATGGTGGATGAGAGCTGGCATTATTAATCTGAACGAGTTGGCAATAGTTGAAAAAACATGTTTATTCCTCTTCGTGCCATCTAATTCATCGTGTATTTTTGTATCGCCCCAGACAGCGAGCATGCAGCGAATTTCGTCGTTGCTCCAATTATAATTGCCAGCGTCCATATTTGTTTTTAATGTTTTGTCACGTGACATGATGTGTTACTAAAAATAAAAAGTTATCCAGATAACTTGACTCGGCAATGCGAAAGCGGCTATCCAGATAGGATTGCAGTGCGAAAGCAACCCGAACCGAATCGACGAACTGAATCAGATTTTTCTATTCGGTTATAACCGAATTCAATAATTCAGTTGTGCAGTGCGAAAGGGGTATTAGTCTCATAATTAACTG